TGGTACCTTTGGGCAGCGGCGTAAATGTGCATGTTATACATCGTTAGAAGCGCACTGGAAAGGCCTTTCAAATACGTTATTGATATTAAGAATCCAACTTTGCATAATGAATTTATGCGGAAAACATCTTCCGCCGATAGCACATGGCACACGGAAATTATCATTATACGCGAACAAGTCCTTTGCACAGCGGCGAAAATGTGCATGTTATACATCGTTAGAAGCGCACTGGAAAGGCCTTTCAAATGCGCTATAGATATTAAGAATCCAACATTGCATAATGAATTTGTGCGGAAAACATCTTCCGCCCAAAGCGCATTGGAGACGGAAATTACGATTATATACGGACATCTAAAGTACCTTTGCGCAGCGGCGCAAATGTGCATGTTATACATCGTTAGAAGCGCACTGGAAAGGCCTTTCAAATGCGCTATAGATATTAAGAATCCAACATTGCATAATGAATTTATGCACAAAAAACATCTTCCGCCGATAGCACATCGCACACGGAAATGACCATTATACACGAACAACACTGGTACCTTTGGGCAGCGGCGTAAATGTGCATGTTATACATCGTTAGAAGCGCACTAGAAAGGCCTTTCAAATGCGCTATAGATATTAAGAATCCAACTTTGCATAATGAATTTGTGCGGAAAACATCTTCCGCCCATAGCGCATTGGAGACGGAAATTACGATTATATACGGACATCTAAAATACACATCGTTAGAAGCGCACTGGAAAGGCCTTTAAAACGCGTTATAAATATTAAGAATCGTAATATGCATAATGAATTTATGCACAAAAAACATCTTCCGCTGAAAAAAAGAGACCTTATATATATATATACATTGTCATATAAATGAATGATAAACATTGCGAAATACACGTACGTCTACGTATCAAATAAGTTGCACAATGGTGATTTATAGCTCGTCGGAACCACCCCAAAGAAACTTTAAGAGCTATTCGTATTAACCAGCACTCACCACGTGGAGGTTGCTCTTTTAAGAGTGCCATTTTCATTTTCCTGCACCATTCCCACAACAGCAAGTTCGAACAGCGAACCCCTTTACTACTGTTGTATAAACCTAATGCGTCAATACTCGACATTAGGGTTATGGAATTACAGGTTATATCCTATTACTTAGCCTATAGTTGATTATGGTTTGATCATCTTTCCCTGTTTCTGTTACCTTTCCCTTCCCCTACCTTCCACTATCCACTTAATTTTATTACCTTTTGGGCTTGATGAGTTTGCCTTTGCTTTACTTTGCCTTTTCCTTTCCCCCTTACCTTTGGGGTTTGGGGCTGGGGCTGGGGCGCTGTTGGAATGGACGCCGAGGCAGGTTCCTCACCGTCGTTTGATGCACTAGCTGCTTGTTTGATGACACCGGCTACAAATGCACACTCACCAGCAGCCTGTAAGGGGTGTTTTTTCACATAATATTTATCTACTGTTTTGGGCCATGTGCAAGATAGTCACTGGCCATCTTTACGTTTTGCATCATCATCGGGATGCTGCCTTGCCACTTCAGTCTCCAAAGCTTTCGAACATCCGTGGCTGTAAATGTCTTACGTTTATTTCCCTCGTTGGGTTTAAAGAAACCTCTTTCGCCCTGGAAGCGGGCCAACTCGAGGGACATGTTACCCACTTTCGGTATTATTGTCCACCTTTCTGAAGAAAGGCGACTTTTCCGGCTGGACATCTTCAGGCATGTCACCACGTATATACCGGCGGTAATCCCTGAACATGTTGTACTCCTCTTTGCACAAGGTTATGCTGACCAGGAAGCTCGTGGACGTCTTGTGGTCCATGAACGAAATTTGGTACCTGCCGCCAACGGATCGTGCCTTATCAAAGTCAGCCAACTTCATACAGGATGCCACCGGAAGGTCTTTGGGCATGACCAAGTTGAATTATCCCACAGGACAGGTACCGCATCACCAGGCGCTGATCGTCATCGGATTGTCGATCTGCTCTTGGCCCGATCCAGGATGTCCCTCACCTCCTGTCTGGTTGCAGGATCTGTGTATCCCTTTGAGCAACGGAAATGGATGGCGGTTGCCTGGTTTCATCTCTGAATTCTGCAACAGATTTATGGGCTTCCTCGCGTTTATATTGTTTACTTACACCTGTATATGAACAATTTGTAGCACTTTGTAAACCTACGCAAATTATCGCAAACCCTGGGTGACATTTTAACATATGTTTGACAGTAGGTGAGAAAGGATTTGACTGCTGCCATGTAATTTTAATGGCACCTGCAGAAACCCTGTTTTGCGAAAATACCATGTTGAAATGATGTATTTCATCTACGTGCTCAAATATATCAAAATTGATACAAGCCATATTACTATTTGGGAATACCTGTTTTGGATAAAATAGAAAAACTTAGAAACGCGGCGACATGTGTCCCCAGCATTGCGCCCTGCTTTTTAAGAATATTGGTTAAATATTGCTTAAACCCTGAAAGTGTGGGTTCACTTTCAGGGAACCCATCATATGCTTCAGAGTTAGTTAGATTAGCCCTGACTGAGTTGTGTTGGAATTATACCGAGTACCATTTCTGGTCGACCCAGTTAAACCAGTACTGGTACTCGGCATTGATTATTATTTGAAGGAGAGGCTACAGGTGCGTCCTCTCCTTGTATTGTGTGGCCAAAGTGTTTTAGTACCCTGATGTACTCAGGGATTTGGTTTTGTTTATTGTGAATGTGCCACAAAATGCCAATAGAGCCGACATGGACACAAGCTGAGTAGCTGTATAAGACTCCGCTTTGGCGGCGATTTTGGGCATGAATGGCGTTTATAGCAGCAGTAGAACTGTTAGGATAACATTTTTAAATGCGCAACGCCTTTGTAATATGTTTTGCACTTTTGACAAACCACTGATACATTTGTGGAAGGCATACTGGCAAAAGATTCACTGTACTATGTTTCTGGGAGCTACAGAAAAAGGCCTTGATGTCACAGTTTTGTAATTTGGATATTTTAAGAACCCTATTTATGCTATGTATCAGTTTGATATATTGAGCAGCGTAGATGACTTATTAAAAACAAGCAAAAGGTAATAAAAGTAAAGTTCACTTGCCAATAGGGATCGTCAACGCCGACTGGTATTCGTCCACTAAGACACTCGGTCTGTGATGATGATATTGTGAGCATTCACTTATATTACCACGTCCCCGCCAGATAGCCAATGGAATGGTTTAGATGAAGGTCACTGTCATGTGACCAAGTCGGATGTTTTTAAGGGAGAGGAGGAAATTGTGAATTGCCCATCTCCATTCTATGCATGACGTCCATTTGGAGGGGCAAGGGCACGCCAAAAGGTGTGAATTGCCCATCCCAATGAAAACCAAGCATTCTATGCACATGGCCGAAATCAGTCGGGCGACAAGATTATAAAATCACAAAGCTGCTTATCAAAAGAAGGATATCTTCACGGTGACGAAATTAAATTTGCTGATTAGTGGTACATCTCCGGAAATTACCTGCCACGCCTCAGACTAAACAGTAAATACAGCAGAGTGATATACAGCTAATGAAGTGATAATTAGATTTACAGGAAGCTAGAGATGTGCATGTATATACAACGAATCCATGAGGACAGGTCAAACAGACGTTATAAAACAATGATGATACGTAGATGTGATATATAGAGTGTGATATAAAGCTAATTAAGTGACAATAGAGGCGGCTTTTGTGATAAAGTATAGCTGTCATAACGCCGACGGGCCGACGGAGCATGCACGCCAGATCATAGATTTGATCCGGTATCAGCAAAATATAACTGCGCGCAGAGCCCGACTATCAGGTGTGACTCGAATGCACATTATACCTTGGCAGAACCGCATTTTCAAGGGCTTTCCGATACACTAACATTATAAATAATAACACTACAGGTATTGCTGTTATGGTTAGATTCCAAACGCTTGTACTTTTTTAGTTCTGTCAAGCATGTTCATTCCTGTATTGCTCAACTATCTAATGTTGCACAACAACATATTACATATTCCCAGAATCCCCATGAATAATCTTGCAAATGCACTATATATGTAAATATTAACACCGCCGGTATAGCCGGTGTACAGATTCATCTAAATTCCGCCAATCTATATCACGTCCCATATATTTTGCAGTTCGCACATTAACACTTATATAGCTCCACCACTGAATGTGCAACATGTGCGTATTATACATTGTCTAAAACACGCCTTAATAGGCTTTCAAACGCGCTATAGAAATGTATATTCTGAGGTGATCTGTAAGAATAGTAGCCGTTATATCACGACTGCGCGTGTGTTGGCGAAAATTGCTATATCACAGAAGAATTGAACTTCAGTAAAATTACACAAAACATCACGTCGGAGTTTCAATCTGACTGGTTACCAGGGCAGCACAATATTCACGTTTGTATATTTGAGAGAGCGTTTCCCAAGGTTTCCAAGAACGTATAGCATGCAGAGATATGACAAAGTAAAAGGCTTGAAAAATGCCATGGCGCAGGCGACTTCCACCGGAGGCTGGTGGAACAAATTTCTTCCACCGGGGCCTACGTGGAAGAAAACGCACAGCTTAAAATCACAGAAACCTTAATTGCTCGGCTATAAAGTTGCGTAAAACAAACGGAAACATTCTCCGTGTAGCCACAGGACACAGCTTTCCAACGACGCGCGGCATGCGCGTGTAAGGATTTATGCAGCCCCCAAGGGAGCCGTGCTGAAATAGGTGATACAATCTGGGAGGCTTCATGCACATACTATATATACGTTTGTAAAACAACTCTGTGGCTTCCTGCACATACTATATATACCACTGTAACTATTCACTGTCATTCACCTGACCTGATGAAGGGGCAAGTATTAGCCCAGAAACGTCGTGTGTAAATAATAAAGAAGTTGCACATCCATATCAAGTGTGTTGTATTACCCTACCAACTTCTAAATGCCTATCAAACATCGGAATATAACATATTCTCTTGTTTGTCACAGATAAAACCAGACTGGCGACTCCGAAAGATGAGGATCCAGAAAGTGAGGTTTCAGAAGATGAGATACCAACAGATGAGGATCCAGAAGATGAGGTTCCAGAAGATGGAGCCATAGATGGTTTGAACGAAAGCTGGTTCTTCATATATACATCTCACAGGATGTAAATCTTTACCACAGATATATTTTTTCCTGTTTAGAAGTGGTTGCAACTGTTTGGTGCATATTTAAATCATGAAATCCTGTGGGCACTCGCGTGTAGTATTTGATGTATAACAGTTGTTCAACTTCCAACTGTAGGTTTCGTATGTTTCGGGAAAGAGTGATTACCTAAAATATTCTCTTTTAGTTCTTCATTCCTGCAACACAGGTTATTTCTCTCAGGTTTTCGGCTAAAGTCCTTGGTCACTGAGAACATGTCCATGCACAATACTTCAACCAACACACACATCTTAAAGTTCCACGATACATGTATACTCCAGCCCTAATCATACTGAGGTAAGTTTCACAAAGACATTACTCAGTCATAAAGACTAATAATAAATAAAAATAATAAAGAAGATGAAATGCATATATTTGATTATCAATTATCCTTCTTTTTTCATTTCCAGGAACAGATGGCGCATTTCAAACCTATTTTCAGAAATTTATTAAGTAAGTTGACATTTTCTTTTGACAAAACATTCTGTAAAATAGAATCGGTTGTTTTAGAATATTATAAATGTTATTTTATAAATGTTTTTATTTGTGTACTTATGTAAATTATTGCTTCACACTGTAAATATGACTATTGCAGTTGGCGGTTTGATTTTGTGCTACTGACGACTTTTGTTAACTACTGTTTCACTCTTAATTATGACGAGTGTTGTGCATAGTTTGATTGTATACTGCTGACTACTTTTGTAAACTGATGTTTCACTCTTTAATTATGTACTGTGCATGGTTTGATTCTGTCACGCTGATTTGTTGTATGCTGCATTAATTTCGTACACCTGATCACGTGCATTTTGTATGATCCTGCAAAGATAACGTGCTGTATGTAATTTGAATATGCGCAGAAAATATAAACCACACGCTCGAGCGAGGGATTTGCCACAACCGCTACTCATTGAACCCCACGACGACGATGATGTGTACACGTTTTCCTCCCAAAAGGCGGGCCTGGCTGTCATCATCAACAATGAAGAGTTCGACCGAAAATCCAAGTTGTTTGATAGGGAAGGAGCAAAACAGGACGCTCGTAATCTTAAGAAGCTTTTCAAACATCTGGGATTTCAGATCAAGTATTACAAGAATCTGACAGCACGCCAAATGGTGAACACACTTCAAACATGTAAGCCATGACATTGTCTAATTTGATTTCAATCTTAGTTTGTCCTTGTTATGAGTTAGATTACATACTCTTTATGTTAACTATTAAAGTTAATTTTTCATTACCAATCACCGTTAATAAAACTGTTGTGACCTTCTGTAGAGAAGTATTTTGTAACATTTTGAAGAAACTAGTTTCTCATGTCAGTCATGATATATTCTATTAAACAGTAGGGGTTAATCAATATAAAAGCGTCACAAATATTGCTACTTTATGTCCCATATGAGATAAATAGTTTAGAGATGGAATATGGACACATAAATGAGATTTGCATTTGCATGTCCGTCACGTCATTTACCGTGAAAAGTCAAGGTCATTGATATCTCGTGAATCCATCTCTATTCTCAAGAAAAACCCGGATAACGAGTGAAGGTGTTCTGACAGTCACCCCGGTCCCACCATACACCACTGTCTGAACGATTGTTCTAACGTTACCGGGTTGAATACGCGCAATTCCTTTACGCCACACTCTGCAAACCTTGATTCACCTGAAAACATCTGTGTAGCCGATTACGAATCTTCTGCCCATTCACTGAAGCTCTGTGGAGCTCATCTCCAATTTGAGAGTCACTTTGAACATGGTTTCGTAAACAGTCATTCTAGTGAAAGGGTCCTGTTCGCAGTTGTCGCCCTTGGTCAATCAGGTCGACGTCTATCGTCAACGTTATTTGTCTGTCGATATCGTGATAGTAACATGCCAAATACTGACTGTGAAACGTTAAGAGCTCGTGCCACAATGCACTGTCTTGTTCAAACTTTCAACATCCAATTACACACCATGGTGACGACGCATGTCAACAGAACAAGCTTCAGTCTGGATGTATTACTGAAATGTGCAGCAACATTTAAACACTTTCATTGTAAATTTCTTAAGTCATAACACGTTGTGAAGAGAATAATCATTTTCGAAATCAACATACAAACAATCAACTTGTTTCCTAAATACTAGTAATAGAATATCCCTTCTTGTTTTAATGGTATACATTTCTGGTATCCTCCGCCGTGATATTGCTGGGATCTTGCTAAAAGCGGGGTAAAACTAAACTCACTCACCCACTTATAACTGTACTGTGTGTTTACAAATGCACATTTTTCATGTTTTTACGGTTCTTCGATTCGCAGTCGCCGGCACCAAGACGTACGATATGAACCAGGTGGACTGCTTTGCCTGTGCCATCTTGTCACACGGGCACAATAACACGCTTTCACAAATGCCAGAAAAAGAAGACCTTATATTCGGCACAGACGGCAAACCTGTTCTCACTCGACATCTTCTGAGCATCTTCAACGACGAATACTGCCCTGAGCTCCAAGGGAAACCACGACTGTTCTTGTTACAGGTGAATGTACAATTCATTTCTTTAATTGCGTCTCATGGAAATTCTATATTGTATGCAAAGGGATTCTGCTATCAATGATGTTTTCTCAAAATATTGTATACTTGTGGAGGCCATAAATTTGACGCATGGGTTCCAAAATGATGTGGAGGCAATTCCCTATTTAGACCTGTGCCATTACGTTCCCGTGTTATTTCATTATTTTGCCAACGCCTCGTGTCGAAATTGATTGTGATTTATGTACATAAATTATGCATGTTCATAATGATGTAATCGGAATCGTTCAATAGTACAATCGTCTCTGCTTTTATTGTGGCAATTTTCAGAAGATAGAGTACGGTTTCTCCTCAAAATGAATTCATTTAGTATTTGGTATTCATGGGCATTGCGTCAACATTGTAACACAAATATAGTCCGTTTGGCCAAAAAGTGGACCAATGAATTGCAATCTAACTCGAAAACTAATAAACATATAACACTCAATGAAACGCCGATCATAATCAAAACATCAGACCAACTCTGTGATTATTATTTTCGAATTTATGTCCTAAAAATATATAAGTTGTTTAACAAAACTGTCATTAAATTTTAACACAGTTCACTTTTTGTTAAGGAGGAGTGCAAAGAGAGGAAGCCTTCACTTTATTGCTGGATTTAGATGTGCCTCAATGTAGCACTTTGACACTACATGGTCAACAATGTTATACAGCATTTACTTCCCCAAAGTGTAAACTATTGTTTATGGTATCATATTAAAAAGGTACAGCCCGGAAGACCAACAAAGTATAAACTCTAAGATCTTTAAGATTAAATGGACATAAATCAAGGACAAACATGCTGTACTACTGGGAATATATATGGGAACGTACAGTTCCAGGTCTTGAAGAAAGATGTATATCAATCTCCACCGTTGGCAGCTAGGGACAATTATTGGATACACTGATAAATTTAAAACTTGCATTCCTTGATCGATTCTGTAACCAGTATTGTAATGCAAAGCAACACCCCGCAATTGGTCAGAACCTTCTTAGCAGTCCTCCGCAACTTCTGTGGCAGGGGAATCTTAGGTCCCGCAATTTGTACTGCAGAGTTGCGTCCCTGTCGCGTGAGTTCGAATACCGTTTCTCCCCAATAACATTTCGGCTTGTCTTCACACCGTGCAGGGAGCCTGTGGGTTTCACCAAAGTGGTAAAGACCTGAATCAATTCAGGCTTTCCACCCTCAATAGGCTGACACGGGGCGAGGTTCAGAACTTCACTGCAAAAGTTCATCATACAATTTCCAAAATACAATATATATATCCACAATGACATCTGTAGGGCATTTCTATTTTCAGGCCTGTCGGGGAAATCACGGTATGGATCCATCTTTTATTACAGTGTTGAAAAATCAGATAAATGTACAACCAGCAGGAAAAAGAGCTCCCAAAGACGCTACTGATGCTGTACCTGGTCACGTGGAGCAACAAAGCGAGGAGCAAGAACAGGAACCGAAGGAAGACCAAGAACATGAGGATGAGGAGAGGAGAAACAAGAGCGCACAAGTACAGGGACATAAGGATGACGATGAAGATGAAAACAGACAAGACCAGGAACATGAGGAGAAAGATGAACGCACACAAGAACAGAAACATGAACGGCCTCGACATCTCATTCAAATCTCCCCATCACCCATCTACAAGGACTTCCTGGTTTTATACGCCGCGACTCCAGGTAGGACTGTGTTGAGGGTCCCTTGAATAGAGGGGGTACTGTACTTCAACTCAAATTTAGACGTATTTATCATGGGTGGTTCTAATCTAAGTTCCGGTATACTATGGAGTTCCTTGAGAGAACTTACTTTACTACACAGAAATATTATTTTTGTATTTAAATGACTAAGGGTACAAATATTATAACAAGTCGTAATTTCTGACGGAACATATAACAGCTCCCAAACTAATGTTTTTTACCTCAGATACTTCTTTTTCGGAGTTCCGAACATGATACCCAGAACTGTGTTTTGGCAACTATTGGTAGAGTTAAGCTCTATGTATTTTGTAGGTTCGCCTTTAGTAACAGAATATTTGTTCTTGATTTGAGCGTTCATGTTGATCAATTTTGTAATGTCAGTACAGGACCCCTAAGGTAGATTCGCCTTAAGTAACAGAATATTTGTTCTTGATTTGAGCGTTCATGTTGATCAATTTTGTAATGTCAGTACAGGACCCCTCAGGTAGGTTCGCCTTTAGTAACAGAATATTTGTTCTTGATTTGAGCGTTCATGTTGATCAATGTTGTAATGTCAGTACAGGACCCCTCAGGTAGGTTCGCCTTTAGTAACAGAATATGTGTTCTTGATATGAGCGTTCATGTTGATCAATTTTGTAATGTCAGTACAGGACCCCTCAGGACTTTGTGTCACCAGGTAACTTAAAAATAACTTATGTTAGTCGTCTCTTCAATGATGAGATTTGTAAATATAGTAGAAACCTAAGTTACCGTATTCAGTGTAAATCTCTCAGTTTGACGTGACAAACGTGATAAACAGCTGATGTTCTGGTTACCCCGGTTCACAGAAAGCTATAGTAGACACTGTTGTCACAAACATTACGTACGCAACACACCCTGGTGGCCTAAACAGAAATGTTGCTCGATTATGAATAGTTTTTGTGTGCCGTATTTCCCTGAGCCATTAGATATATCAGTAATTATTACCCTTAAGATACATTTGCCGATAGCCACAGCATAGGAACCGTACACCCCGTTAAATCTGTCACTTGACACACTAGACACTATGACATTGACCTTAGACGGAGTATGGCTGCCAAACAGCTGATCACTTCGAAATGTTATAGTTGGCGTATACAATTATGAGTATAAACAAAGTTACACAACGACTCTTTTGTTCCCGGGTGTAGAATAACCAACCGAAATATTGGTTATACTATGGGGACTACTTTCTTCTGTTCGTCTGCTTCTAAAAGAGACCCGGAAATGCAAAAGATCAAATCAATCTTTATTTCGGGAATGACATTTGCAACCTTGACATTGACCGTTCCAATGACCCAGCGTCACATATGGTTGTCGTGGACGTCTGTTGCGACCAGAACTGGGATACGACCAGAACTGGGATAACTAATATGGAGAATTATACGTCTTACTGTCAACTATGTATTTAATCGACAAACAATTATTAAGATCAAAATCAGCTGCACAACTCGTGTCCTTTATTTTAACTACTGATCGCAAAAAATGCCAATGGCAGCGCTCCATAGTCGATGTCCGCCATAATAGCTAAATATAGCAGCGCAGAAAATGTAGAAACGTAAAACTGAAACGAAATAGAATTCATTTTCATACGCTTTACTGTAATTACTCTACTAGCTTAAAATAAGTGAGCGACCAATTAATGTTCCTGGTTGTGGATGCTGAATTTAGGTGTCAGGTGTTTTTCATTCATTTTTATTCATAATGATTCATTCATTCCCAGAAATGGTTACTGCTCAACTTGAAATATGACTTTCTTGCAATATCTAATGATATTTTAAAATATAGCTAATTATTCCTTTGAACAATATATGTGTATGCCCACAAATAGAACCAGAAAATATATGATGTGAATGGTATTGGATTTTGATTTTATAGTTGAATAATTATGCTGATATGTGTAAAAATATAGTAAGTTGTACCTAAATATCGGCAAGCCTGGCCATTTTGCAGTGTTTTATGTAATAATACAGTAAATAGTTTCTTTTAAAAAGAACGGGGAATAAAAGAAAATTAAATTATGTCATAATTATTTTTTTAATGATGTTGCATCCATTCTTGATGGGTATGTATGTATAACAATTCAAGTTTGTTTTGGGGATTTAAGTTATTTGTGTTATGCCATTTGTGAGAGTATATAAGAGATTGGTATGTTGCTTGGGCATACTTTTCAGAGAATATTTCTTTATGAAATACTCGAAAAATATACAGGTTCATGTACACATTCATGACACTGTAAAAGAGTGGTGATCTATTATTTATAATGGTAGGGTGTATTCAGTAACACGCCATCACACATAATACTATGCTGATAATGCTGAGTGAAAGGTCCAGTTAAAGTTCTCATCCCCAAATGTTCACATGGCCCCTAAGCAGTTAGTGGCTCCCTATTTTTATAACATGTTTAGCCTCCAAGTAATGTTGTGTTAATATTACTGCTATTAGCATATAAGATTTGCCAGTAATTATCATTTATAGCTTTCATCATTATTGTGTGTACATGGAAGCTGTTTGTAACAGACACCAGACATACAAGGCATAATTACTTCAGAATGAAAAAAAGTGGAGAGTTTGTGCACCATCTCAGAAGGCTATAGTTATAACTTTGAAGAAAAATGATGGTGTAGAAATTATCCAAAATGTTTCTTTAATGTTCCTTTGAAAATCCCCTTCCTGGTCAGCTTGATATAAATGGGAAATTCACTGAGCCCTTCATAGCAGCTTGAACTTGTTATTCCATGCATTGTCATCAATAACATTATATTTGCTGAACTAATTAGCGGTTAGAATTGTCCCCTTCACAATTTGCTTGAAAGGGTCATCTGCTCATTGTGTTAGAAGGCCAAGCAGCTGAAGCTTCTTTGATGACATATTGTTACTGAGATGAAACTGTCAAGGTACATGATGCCTTCATATTTACTTTTTTGTGTAATTTCCCCAAGAAACCAATGCTACCTGATGTGGATATGGTTGTCGGGCTCAATGACTTAGTCATTGTTTAGAATCAAGTCTCAATGATTGCATGTGTGGCTGCTTATGATCTCAATAACTGGATTGTCTGGTACAAACTCAGTTATTTACAGATATCATGTAGCTAGAATATTGTGTAGCAACAAACAACAAACAAGCAAAAAACAATTTATGCCAGCTTTGGATTAGGAATTTGTGTGATAAATGTAGTCAAGGAAATTAAAACATGCAATATTGCCCCACTGCTTTTAGGTTTTGCCCATAAGTATGAAGTATAAGAACCCAAAAGAAAATAATAAATTCCATTAAAATATAGATTGTAAACTTGTTCCACTTCAAACACATTTGGTTGAGGGAATGCTATGAGCAGCCAAAATGAAATCAGAAGATTCCATTGATTGTAATTTTATGGTGTTATCCCTCTTCTGATTGAATCTGTATGTATTATACTAATATTGTACAGATTCTCTGAAAATAAGAGATATTGTCCTGTTCAAGATTCAGCCCACAATTTTTAAATGTCAGATTATTCTGTTAGTATTAGACTTAGGAGACATTATCCCTCTCCTGGTCAAAGGCATACCAGGATTAAATCAAGTTAACTCTTTTAAAGTTGTACTAATTAATGGCCTATTTGCTTTCATAGTCTGCTTTCTACATGTCTGAAATATGATCTACTATCATCAGATTTTAAAGTTGTTTTCCTTTATCTAATTAAGGGCATATGAATAGTATAAAATAGTTTTAAAATCTCTAAACATTGGCAATATTGACCTGTTGCATGTAGACTCTGTTTCACAAGTTTCACTTATGACTAAATACTATCAACAGCCATGAGGAATCTTTAGATTCGATAACTGTAATTTTCAACTTTTACTCAAGCAGATATTGTCACAACAAGGAATAAGAACGCCATAATAACTTTACCAGATAGATATAACATGAACCTAACAGTTTACACACTCACACCCATTCAGCTTGAGTCAAATAACTATCACCCTTCAAGGGCATCACGCACAGCACACAGTTTAGACACAAATCAAACATTGCACAATCACTGTTTCCCTCAAAATACTAAAGGTTACTACATGCAAATCACTAATATATTAATAGTGTGCTAACAATCAATCCTTCTCATACAATACATCCAACTGTAGATTTTTAAGGCATATTCCCACTCTTGGTTAAGGACATGTGAGTATCATTATTACTATTTCATTATTAATGCTATACTATTATTTCATTCAGAATTTGCTGACAAGTTGGAATTGTTATTTACCACTATAAGCGCAGAGGAAATCTTGAAATTCCATAAACTGTAAGTTTTAAAGGCTTTATCCCACTTCAAGCAAAGGGCATGTCATTCATGATAACAATTAAAAGTCTCTGAAAATAAGAACTATTGACCCAGTACATTCATAATTTGCTCACAGGTTTGAAATGTTATTCAATATCATCAGCCCAGATACCATTTTGAAATTGTATAAACTGTAGGTTTTAAAGACATTATCCTACTTCTGCTCAAAGGCACGTGATTAATAATAATAGTTAAAAATCTCTGAAAATTTGAATTATTGACCCAGTACATTAATAGTCTACTTGTAGGTTTGAAATGCTATTTACTATCATCAGCTAAGATAACTTCTTGAAATTCCATGAACAGTAGGTTTTAAAGGCATTATCCCACTTCTGGTCAAAGGCATGTGTTTAATAATAATAGTTAAAAATCTCTGTAAAATAGAATTATAGACCTAGTACATTCATAATTTCCTCAGAGGTTTGAAATGCTATAAACTACCATCAGCCAAGATACCTTCTTGAAATTCCATAAACTGTAGGCTTTAAAGGCATTATCCCACTTCTGGTCAAATGCATGTGATTAATAATAATAGTTAAAAATCTCTGTAAAATAGAATTATAGACCTAGTACATTAATAACTTACTTGTAGGTTTGAAATCCTATTTTCTATCATCAGCCAAGATAACTTCTTGAA